ATCAAACCAATTGCTCAAGGGAATTTTAGCTATTTTTGGCACCAGGAGCAGAAAGAGGCTTTCCCTAGAGGCCTGGTGATGGACTCCATCTGATGCCCTGAGACTCAGGCTCAAAGCCCGCTGTACAACAGAGCCAGCCTCTTCCCTGGGCTCCATCTCTGCTAATGGCGTCTTCCTGGAGGGGAATTCCATGAGAAGAATTCTGCAGGAATCCGGCATAACGGAGCCCACAGAATCACCTCTCGGCTGATCAGTAGTGTGCCAACAATAAAGTAAGTTGAAACCAGAAAACATCATGTTAATGAAACACACTGCGTAGTTATCAGAGTGGCTGAAGTCAGGTTTGGCCACCAAATGCTTTGCAGATGGCACTTGTGATCAGCGTGCCAAGGTTTTTGACCCTCTCCCACCAGCACCAGGGAAAAAATAGAAGAAAGGTGTGGCCGAGAGTACAGAGGGGTATCAGGCTCAAAACAAGGGACAAGTATCATGGTCAACCCAATCTTTACCCCTTCACATGCCCTTATTTAGCAAAACTGAACATGGGGGGGTGGGGCAGCGCTGTGGTGTGTCAGGTGGAGCTGCTGCTGGCAGTGCCAGCATCCTGTCATATGGGCATCAGTTTGAGACCCGGATGCTCCATTTCTGATCCAGATCTCTGTTGTGGCCTGGGAAAGCAGTAGAAGATGGCCTAGGTCCTTGAGCCCCTGCACCCACGTGGGAGACCCGGAAGAGGATCCTGGCTCCTGGCTTCGGATCGGCGCAGCTCCGGCCGTTATGGCCAGTTGGGGAGTGAACCAGCGGATTGAAGACCTCTCTCTCTCCTTCTCTCTCTTTCTCTCTTCCTCCCTTTCTCTCTGTGTAACTCTTTCAAACAAAATAAATCTTAAAAAAAAAAAAAAACTGAATGTAGGCCCTTTGTCTGGGTTGCCTCTGTGATTCCTAGCAACTCTACAAGAGGTCCTGTTTCACAAAAATACAGTCAATAAATAGAGACTGGGACCATTAAATGAACTGGCACCACCAGCTCCTAAGTTCTGCCACCGGCCAGAATTTGACTCAGCTCTGACTTTCCGCTGTGGCACACTACCTCTGTATTTCTCCAATTTAATTAGAAGTCATTTTCCCCCTTGATTTCTTGTGATCACTTTCTATTTTGTATTATTTCTTTTCCAATGCCACATAAGACTAGAAATAATTTGATTTTTTAAAAATCTTTCTGTTGATCTTTTGAGTAGTTTTAATAAGCTAGTAGAGAAAACAAAGACAAAACCACTTTTCCATCCCTTGATGCTCTTGGTGATGATAGTGTGATGTGGGTTCTTAACAGTTCAGTCCAGCCTGCTGTTGAGTAGCACATTCTCATTAAAAACCACTTACCTGCATTCCTCTCGCGAGGTGACAGCTCCTTTCATGCATCCGTGATAGGGAGTGGCTTTTTCATTTCGTTTTCCCGCTTGCACCTGTTTCGGCTGAGGCGCACACCACCCACTCCACACCAGTGCTTGTCTGGTGGGGCCCGCTCCACCTGTCACAGATGCACCGGCGCTGTGAGACCCTTACGGAAAAGCTTCGCGGGCATAAGACCAATAGCTTAATCTCACATCAAGCCTGAGTCCTTGTCCACAGAATTGAGAACAGCTGAGAGACAGCATCATTCACCCAAACAACTGGTGTTTTCGCTCGTTTTTTGATTGAACTTACTTGTATGAAAATATGTACAGCGGTTCCCCCTCTATTACTACTGTGACCTGTTGGATTGTACTCGTGATGCTGCAATCACAGTTGTTTTTAATTTTTCCTTCAATCGATTCCTTCACTGGTGTTCCTTTAAATTATTCCCAGGGTGGTGTTGTTTTGTTTTGTCTTTGGTTGTTGTGCTGTTACAAACTGCTGCACTGAATTTTCTGGTTCATGTCTACTTGCAAACATTTGCAAGAATTTTTGTGGAGTATTTGACGAGAGGTGGAATGGGCAGTTCATAGAGCAGTTCTCACCTTTAGCTTTACTAGGTGTTACCCAGCTCTTCTCCTGTATACGCTCTAACCCTCTTACATCCTAATCAGCTCTTGGCATTATCGGATTTTTGTTTATTTTGCCTAACTGATGAATGTGAAATACTATTTCTTTGTTATCTTGAAAGTCTGCAAGTATTTGAAAAAGGCAATTAGGTAGCTCTGTGAAACAGAGCCTTGTTCTAAATGAAGTGGATAACACCGTGGCGTGAGGAGAATTCATCCATTGAGGTCCCAAAGACTACGGAAAAGGAGATCAGTAACCCCCAGTGCTTTGAACACTCACATTCAAAATCAAAATGAGTTGCTGAAGAGTTCTTCCTCTTATATTGCTTTCCTTTCTCTTTTCAAGTTAGATAATGAATTTGATGCGACTCAAAATTTCTTTGGATGCTCATCTGCATGGGGAGATCAGGTGCTTAGAAATCTGAAGGCTGGCGACGGGCATTTGGTGCAATGGGTGGGATGACTGTGTCTCTTATCAGTGCCTGGGTTTGAGTCCTGGCTCGGCTCCTGGCTCCCGCTTCCTGCTAATGTGCACCGTGGGAGACAGCAGGTGGTGGTGGTTCAGTGCTCAGTCTCTGCTATTCATGTGGTAGACCTGGTTCGAGTTCCCCGCTTGGCCCAGCTCTCACCATTTTATAAATATGGGCAATCAGTGGATGGGAGCTCTCTGTCTGACTCTCTGTTTCCGCCTGACTGCCTTTCAAATAAAAATAAACTAATTGGGGGCCAATGCTGTGACTTAGTAGGTTAAGCCTCCTCCTGCGACGCCAGCATCCCATCTGAGCACCGGTTCAAGTCCCAGCTATTCCTCTTCCATCTGCTCTCTGCTAATGCTCCTGGGAAAGCAATAGAAGATGGCCCAAGTGTTTGGGCCCCTGCACCCACATGGGAGACTGGGAAGAAGCTCCTGGCCCCTGGCTTCAGATCAGCCAAGCTCTGACTGTTGTGGCCATTTGGGGAGTGAACCAGTGGATGGAAGACCTCTCTCTCTGTCTCTCCCTCTCTCTGTCTGTGACTCTACCTGTCAAATAAATAAGTAAATATTTTTTAAAAAGAAAAAGAAATATGAAGGCTGGCCTTAGAAATTGGCCTGAACTTCCAAAAACAGAGATATGATTTCGTGTGTCCCCAGTTGCTTAGGGTGTGATGGGTGGAGGATTAGGCAGGAAGTCTTCCATACAAGCTCCTGGGAGGCCGCACCACGCTCTGAAGAGCAGTCACATTCCTCAGGCTGATTAATCAGCTGCCCTTTTAATCTGTGCTGATTTTCTTTTGTTTTCTCTGGGCCTTTTAGTTAAGCCTTGTTTCACCATTTCAGAGTTGCTGAAGCTCTGCTAAAGGGAATTAGAGAGAGAGTGTTCCTCCCACTTAAGTCCAATTTGTACAAGAACAAAAGCAGCCCCAGAAAGGTGGCAGCCACACTGATTGGTGACAAGACGCCAAGGGGCAAGATGAGTGTGGAGGAGACAGGAGTCTGGTTATCCAAGACCATTTCCCATTCTCATCGAGAGCTTCTACCTCCATCTCAGTCTTGGAAGATTTTAAAGGAGACTGTGGGGCCCCTGACGCTTACAGTTTCCCACAAAGGCCACTGTGGCAAGCAAATCCCACTGACCCCACTGTGAAACAAGCCTTCGATGCCTTCCTTTCCAGGGAGTCGGCACGTGTCACAGGAAGAGCAGGGTCTTTGAAGCCTGGTGAACTTGAGCTCGGATCCATGCTGTGAGGAGTTTGTGACCTTGGGCAAATTACTTAAACTCCCTGAGCCTCAGCATCTTCTGCTCTAAACCAAGGGCACCAAGCCCACCTTAGAGAGTTAATTGGAGGACTAAATAGGATAACCTGTGTAAAAGAGTCTGGAAGACAGCAGACATGTTAGTTCTCTTCCTGTGTCACTGGGCCTGGCTTTCCCACAGTACCCAGTACCGCTGCAACTCCCAGTCCCAGGATCTTGGGGTCCGGTCTCTCGCAAGCAGGTCTATGGACTCCTCCATCAAAGTTGACCTCTCCGTTGTTGCATTCTGACCTTGTCTTTGTTATTGGGTTCAGAACGGACTTGTAATGATTAACTCACATAAGAGATTAGCTCACCCCAAGAAATCACTCTACCGATGGCAAGCTCAGGTAGCACAGCAGGTGCATGGGAGAGGTGTAGGTCTGGAGACAGTGGAACTTGAAGTATTTAAAACTGACCTCCAGCTCATACCACTTACCTTCAGGGCAAGCCTTGGTGTTGTTTGAAGAGATGTTTCTACCTGCCCTTAAGGCAACTGCCTCTCTTCTCACTTGGGACCTACAGGTAGGATCACGAATATCATTGAGGTTGTTTGATCTTAATTTAAGATACTTTTTTTTTTTTGACAGGCAGAGTGGACAGTGAGAGAGAGAGAGACAGAGAGAAAGGTCTTCCTTTGCCGTTGGTTCACCCTCCAGTGGCCGCCACGGCTGGCGTGCTGTGGCCGGCGCACCGCGCTGATCCGATGGCAGGAGCCAGGTGCTTCTCCTGGTCTCCCATGGGGTGCAGGGCCCAAGCACTTGGGCCATCCTCCACTGCACTCCCGGGCCCCAGCAGAGAGCTGGCCTGGAAGAGGGGCAACCGGGACAGAATCCAGCGCCCCGACCGGGACTAGAACCCGGTGTGCCGGCGCCGCAAGGCGGAGGATTAGCCTAGTGAGCCGCGGCGCCGGCTTAAGATGCTTTCAATGGAGGTGGCTTGGGTGACTGTGTGAACCTCCTTTCACCTCCCAGGTGTCATCTCCAGGTTGCCCTTGCAACAGGTCCCAGCCCTGTCTCACCTGTGGTGCTCAGCCAGCTGGAAACACCCTTCCCTCTGGCATGGCAGTCTCAGTGCGGACACTGACGTTCAAACAAGTTTAGTCTCTGACCCGCAGCTGGCCACCTAGCGGGGGTTCTGTCTTCAGGGTGAGGGAGAGCTCAAATAATGCATGTCACTCTCACCACACTGTTCTTTCTCTATAGGAAGCTGTCAGTTGCTTGGAGCTATCAATCTGACATACTCTCTGGTTCTACATGGAGACTAAAATACCATTTCAGTCCCTATCCCAACATTTCTCAAATCATGTGAGTATTTCCAACCATGCAGTGATCATCTGAAAACGCAATTTTTAAAGTGCCAGTTCTTTGGGAAAAGTAAGACAGAACATTTCCTCCTGTTTCCTCTGAGATTTAAGTTTTTCCAATAATTTGGTTATTGTGTGCTGCTTAATCTTTGGAGATTAGGCTTCAATTTTTTTCCACCTAGACTTCAATTTGCTCATAAATCTCTTCATTTTGCTTAATTTAAATGTTTTGGCCAACTTCATGGCTTAATAATGAGAAATAGAATTGGAGCCTTAATGACTACGAAGAAGGGAATTGTCATCTTGTCTGGAATTAAAAGAGCTGTTAAAGGGGCGGGCATCCCGTCAGCCGACTTGCTGCTGCCTTGACTAGTCTGTGCCAAATGAGGCTTGAGAGTATCCATTTCTTTGCACCCAGGGGAATTCTCCAATATGATTACTTGAAAATCCTTCAAATCCAGCCCTGCTTACATCCACCTGGTTGCTCTGCCTCTATTGATTAGCTGTGAACTGTTAATTGAATGCAGGCCATCTGAGAAGCCCCCAGGCCCCTGGTGTGCCCCTCAGAAGCCTCCCATGAAAGCACAGGCAAGTTATCCAGATCCAATATGCATCAACGTGGGTTGCATAATGTGGGCCCTGAGACCATAATGCACAATGATCAGATAACCCAGCACCAGAGAGTACAATTTCAGACTTCCACCTGAGCAGGCTTAACTAAAGAGAGACAGGGAGAGAGAGAGAGAGAGAGAGAGAGAGAGAGAGAGAGAGAGACTAGAAAAGTTTTTAAAACCCTTTCCTAGTAAGTTTACGCTGGAGAAAGCTATCCAGAGCATGGCTGTGAAGGTCAGAATTCCCTCCTTGGCCCAGAGCTGGGAGGAAACACTAGCTGGGCCGTTCCCCTCGTGAAGGCAGAGGGGCTCTCTGCAGATCATGCTTGCTGCTCTGACCCGGTTGCAGAGAGGCCCTCGGCACGAGGTGGAAGAATAGGGGCTGGTTTGACATAGGCACATCCACTTCTGTTGAGAGCTTGCTCTGGATGGTTGGAAAGAGAAATAATTTCAACTTCTTCAGGTCTCTCCTTCAGGTATGCCACAAGCCATCTTTCCTCATGACATGCCACTTCTTTTTCAGGAGTCAGCTACAGTTATTCATTTAGCATTCAATCATGCATTGTCTTGGACTTGACTTTCATAAAGAGATTACAAATGCCTGAAGAGCAAAAACCTTGTTCTACATTTTTTGTGCTCACTCACTTGTTGACTGATAAATCACTGTGTCAGCACCTACCACACTTGGAGCAGTGTGCAAGCAGTGTGCAAACAGGGGCTCCAGAGGACGCTACCTCACTTCTGCCTTCCTGGAGCCCACAGTCTTACCGGGTAGGCTCGATGTGTATGGAGAGAAAGTTCAATAGGAACCCAGAAGCACACAGCAAGGGCATGCTGATTCAAAAACATGCAAAAAAAATGACGAGGGAAGAAAATTTTAATACTGTGTGTCTTTATACTGATGCTGGTGGGTTTTTTTCTTCTACTTTTTGGATTTCTCTAATCTCCTATAAGGTATATAAACATATACGTATTACTTTACTAATTATAAAACAACTTTAAAGTTGGAGTTAAGGATGACTACAATAACGGAAATGTCATAGAACCAAATTAAGATTCAGGGTTAAATGAGTAAGCCAATAAAAGAGTTCTTTCAGTTTTAAATTTCTTGTTTTCTGTGTCTATCTGTATCTGGGACAGAAGCATGTACATAGTAGTCGTTGAAGAAACACCATTTTTAAAAATTTACTTATTTGAAAGGCAGAATGTCAGAGGGAGGGAGGGAAGGAGAGAGAGAGAGAGCGAGAGAGAGAGAGAAAGAGAATCTGTTGGTTCATTCCCCCAATTGCCCACAACAGCCAGGGTTGGGCCAGGCTGTAGCTGGGAGCCAGGAACACCATCCTGCTGTCACACATGGGTGGCAGAAGCCCAAACATCCAAACCATCTCTCATTGCCTTCTCAGGCATGTTAGCAGGAAGTTAGACTGGAAGCTGAGCAGCCAGAATGGGATGCCAGCCTTGCAAGAAGAGGTCACTTAACCCGCTGTGCCACAATGCTGGCCCAGGGAGCATCTTTGGACTGTATAATAAATACTTGCTGGATATAAAGTGTACTGGTAAAGTACGTGATTTCCTGTTACACCTTCTGTAGTCAAATCTCTCTTTATTAAATATTTTCTATTCTTTTGTACCTGTGTGTTTCTCATCTCTTCAATGAGATGACAAAGCCTTTGTGTTACACACGTGTTATTTTCCCATGCATGGCAGTCTGTGCACACATGTACCTTTGTCCCCTCATTTAAATGGTGCCCTGAAGTCAGGCCCCACCCGTTTATGCTAGGATCTTGAAGTTGAATAGAACAGGACTTCTCCCCCAGATAGTAAAGACTTTGGAACCAGGCAGCTGTGCTCAAACCCTGGTTGCACCACCAGCTTCCAGACTGATGATGACCAAGCTAAATACTTTCCTTTTCTGTAACATACGGAAAAAGCATCTACCTGTTGCAAACATAAAAATTGCGCCCTTAAAACACAGAGCACACTATCTGGCACTTACTAAGTACTCAGTAAAGGATAGCTGCTATATGAGTCTCATATAGAAATTGTCAGGGCTGGCCCTGTGATGTAGTGGGTAAAGCTGCCCCCTGTATTGCCGGCAACCCATATGGGCACCGATTCAAGTCCCGGCTACTCTACTTCCGATCCAGCTCTCTGCTATGGCCTGGGAAAGCAGTAGAAGATGGCCCAAGTCCTTGGGCTCCTGCACCCATGTGGGAGGCCAGGAAGAAGCTCCTGGATCCTGGCTTTGGATTGGTGCAGCTCCAGCTGGTGCGGTCAATTGGAGAGTGAACCAGAGGATAGAAGACCTCTCTCTTCTCTCTCTCTGCCTTTCCTTCTCTCTGTGTATAACTCTGACTTTCAAATAAATAAATAAATCTTAAAAGAAAGAAAGAAATTTTCATCCAAGGCCAGCTAATGTGACTTGCCACAAAATGTGAGAATTCTCTCTGCTCTCCTCCACTTACGGGTCTCCGGCAACATTAACTGAACTACTTGCAGTAGTGACAGGGACCCCATCGCTCTGTTTAAATATTCTTCCTTCTATTGATCTGTGTTCTGGAGCTCAGCAATCCCACTACTGGTTCTAGGGGCCACACAGAACCTGTCTTTTCCACATGACTTCATCCGTCTTCACAGCCCTGGGCTGTGCGCACCAACCTCCCTCCCGCCCCCTCCAGCGTCAACACAGCATTTAATAAAGGTTGATTGATTTGAATGGATGGAGGTACCTTTTTTTCTCCCAGTAGCTCAGGTATGGTCCTAAAGGTAGGGGAATGAACTCAAATGCAGCAACTCACTGCTGGAGGGTCCTTTCAAGCTGAATGGGCAAACTTCTAGCTTTCCAAGGGCCTCCTATCCAATGTTCCTCACTTGACCTGCAGCTTCTAGTCACTGCACAAGACTTCCTCTAGAAGAGAAACCAGAGCGGATGGATGCTTGCATCATTATTGACTGTTCTGGTTGGCACGTGTGCTAAACTACATGCAAGGATTCAAAACAAACAAAAAAGCTCATGGGAAATGTGTATTATGAAAAAAAATCGCATAGGTTTCCATTTTTTTTTTTTACCGAAATAAACATCTTTTAATTCCATTTTCTACAAACTTTTAGAAGTACACAAGAAAAACCACTATCAGAGAAACTACTAGGAAAATGCCATCTCTCAACTAATACATTTAGCATCTCTGGAACCATCTAAGCATTTATGGAAGCAGGCTGTTTAAAACACAAATGAAGGGGGCCGGCGCTGTGGCTCACTTGGCTAATCCTCCGCCTGTGGCGCTGGCACCCCAGGTTCTAGTACCTGTTGGGGCACTGGTTCTGTCCCGGTTGCTCCTCTTCCAGTCCAGCTCTCTGCTGTGGCCCAGGAAGGCAGTGGAGGCTGGCCCAAGTGCTTGGGCCCCTGCACCTGCGTGGGAGACCAGGAGAAGCACCTGGCTCCTGGCTTCGGATCGGCAAAGCACGGCAGCCGTGGCAGCCATTTGGGGAGTGAACCAATGGAAGGAAGACCTCTCTGTCTATAACTCTACCTGTCAAAAAATAAATAAATAAAAATATTAGGGGGGAACACAATCTGAGAATCAAACTGATTTATCTTCTCCAACATCAAAAAGCATGAGTCCTAGCGACTGAAAACCACACTTGGGAGTGTTCCTGGGCTCTGCCTTTTTCTGAGTCTGTCCCCTAGATGGGATCAGGTCATGGGATGCACTGGAAGACACCCTGGCAACAGAGGCAGAGAGGACCGGGTTCAAGTCTCTTCCCTTCACTTTGCAGCTTCGCCTTACACTAGCTGCGGGCTTGTACCTTCACTTCCAGAAACCTTCGTTACCTCTCCTGAAATTGCTGAGATTTATCTCATGGGGCTACCCCAAGGATTACATAAACAACTGTGCCTGATGGAGTGCTGGCCCCTCCACTCTGCACCTCTGCTTTCACTTTCATCTAAATCCTAACACTTAAGGAAATAGCAGCATTTTCCTAAGCTCGTCAAACCTGGCCCGACTCCCCGGCACAGTCACCGCTCTAAATGCCAGAGCTATAATTTGTTGGCCTTGAAGCCATGATGATGTTTTCACATTTTAAAAGCAAAGCACCAAGAGGGAAATTCGCCTGTTTTTTTGGCAAGAGAAAAAGGAAACGGAGATTGATTTAGATTGTTTTGGTAAAGAAGTCTTGCATTTCTGAACACGTACAACCTTGCTGGACGTGCATTGAAATGGATAGGCCGGGGACCAAGTTTTGGTAATTTTATTTTGAAGTAAAATTCACTTGTTGAGGATAATGAGGAGAGGAGAGGAGAGAGAGGGCTGATTGATTTTTCCGAAGCTGGCTTGGAAGTTGCGGCTGAGTTTTTCTAACCTCTGTAGAAGGCATGGTGACAGCTGGA